GGTTGGTAGTGGCGATTAAGGAATATCCTACACCTGCACTAGATATTGGATTGTCCAGGCTAAACAAAATGTTATACCTTGTGAAATCCCACCCACAACAATAATAAAAAATAGTAAAGAAAGCCTTAAAGTCGGGCGGGCCGACTTTATAATACTCTGCACCACTTTCGTGCTTAGTAGAGCTTCAAAAATAAAAAATAAATAAATAATCATACCGACTATAATTATGATTATAATTTAAATTCCAAAGGAACTAATATAAGAGAGGGGTATTCATCTCTTAATCGATTTCCACTGAATTTGCGAAGTATTTGTACCTTTTCAATCTGGGCTAATATTACACGTTTGGTTCACAATTAACTTGAAATAGGATAAAGATATCCATGGGAGCTATATCCAAATCTGAACAGATGTCGATAAAACTTGGCAAAGGTATTTTTGAGCTGTGTCTGATATATTTTCCCGAATATCGATGTTACGGAGTGCATATTACGGCTGTGGAGAAAAAATATAAAAAATCAGATGAACAATATGAGAGCTAAAGCTATATCTGAACCGATTTCCACAAAATTTGACATACTTATTTCTAGGCTCAATTTGGTCGTAAGTGCCAAATTCCATCCCAAATCTGAACCGATCTCGATAATATTTAGCAAAGGTATTTCTGAGCTGTATCTAATGTATTTCCCCAAATATCGTTTTTACAGGGTGCATATTACGGTTAAGGAGGACAAAAATAACAGATCGGATGATCAATATATTTGGGAGCTATAGCTAAATGTAAACCGATTTTGATAAAATTTGGCATACTTATTTCTAGGCTCAATTTGGCAAAATTTCATACTATTTGGGCTAATGTTACAGATTTGGTGCACAATAAAAGGCAAATCGGACAAAAAAAGTTATTTGGGATGGAATTCAAGCGTGATAGTTTGATTTCTTTATGTTGGGCTGGAAAACCACAAGTGGCTATCGTTAGAGCACTCCAGCATTTAAATGTGAATAAATCTTATAAAGAGTTACTTCGCTTGGCCAAAAGTGGTGCACTGCCGAATTTGGTTTTTCCGATGAGAAAACATTCGTTGTCCAGCAGTTTGTAAACAAACAAAATTATCGTGTTTAGTTGCCAAAGAGGTCAGCTAAAAACCTTCAGAACTCAAGCGCCGGCCATGGTGATGGTGTGGGTCGCCATAACACCCAATGGTCGATCTCCGCTCGTATTAATCGACCGTGGCATCAGAATAAATGCCGAATTGTGGAGGGTGTATTAAAGCCTTGGGCACGCAAACATTTTGGCCGCAGACCTTGGACATTCCAACAGGACTCAGCACCATGGCACTCAGCACGCGCCACCCAAGAATGGTTATAAAATGAGGTTCCTTGCTTCATTTCCAGCGCACAATGGCCACCAAAATCTCCGGATACCAATCCGTTGGACTATTTTGTCTGCAGCATTTAGGAAAGCAAGGTTGGCACTAAAAAGTACCAAAGTGTCGATCACCTGAAGCAAGCGCTTCGCCGAGAATGGGCCAAAATACCGCAGAGCAACATTCGGGCAGTGTGTGACGGTTTCTTTAGCCGTTTGAAGGCCATAATTCGTGCCAAAGGTGACCAATTCGAACAAATCTAAACTTATTCTAAATTTGACGTTATTTCCGACATAATTTACTTTCATTCAATAAGATTAAATAAAATTTAAAAATTATGGCGTTTGACTTTGTTGCAATTTTTTATCTCACCCTTAATGTCAGCTATATCTAAATTTTGATCGATTATCTCCAATTTCAATAGGGTTCGTCCCTGGGTCAAACATATAACTTGTGCAAAATTTCATCTGGATCAATACTTTGTTTACAAAAATACATGGACAGACGGACACGCATAAATCGACACAGAATGTGATTTTATGCAGATCATGTCTGTTACAAACAAATGCACAAAGACATAATACGCTGACCTTCTTGTGGTGAAGGGTATAAATAGTGAAATCATGAGTAAGAAATGTACGAATGCAATCTTAAAAACTTATATGAAATATATTACCAATCCTTCGAAAACCCATTAACATTGCGGGAAAGAAAATGTCAACGACCAATTTAAAATTTTCTATTAACAGTGAAATTGTTTCTGATCAATCGAAATTAAGAACTGAGACTAATTTTAACCGAACAACTTACAGACTTTTTGCATGGAAAATGTGTAGAATAACCAAATTTATTATTACTTGGAAATAGAGCTAATAACCCATTAAGTATGCAAAAATCTGCACACCTTATTTTAAATGCTTTCTAATTACGTGCCCCAGAAAAAATAAACATTAATGCGACGCCAAAATATAGCCATTCCTTCCATATCCAAAAAAAGTAACTACTGAACGTGGCCCTATATAGACAACTTTCTGTCACGGGAAATAGAATCAATTATGAGTTTCAAATACAGAATTTTTACCTAATCCGCTAGACACTGAGGCACTGAGGCGTTTGGACTCTAACGTGATTACAACAAACGGAATGATATAACTATGTCGACTTAAAACTTTACGCTGATCAAAAATACATGTACTTTAAAAATTTAAATGTGCCTAAAACAAGTATTTAAAATTCCTGTTGAAGTAACTTGGGAATGTTCAGAAACCACCCTATTCGTCTCCTATATATAGCAATATAATAGCAATATATATAGCAATAAATGTATTATCACTCTTAATCTAAATTTTAAAATAGTTTATCTTCCTGAATATCGTAATGAATGGTTAACCTGTTATCTTGAATGTGGGTATGTCAGTGTAAAAAATTACATTTTTCCTACTAAAAACCATTTGTTTGTTATCATTATTATAACTGAACCCGATGCTGATTAAGAACAAATATATGTTATGTCGAGGAGTTACTTACGCAATAAAAAACTAAAGGTAGTCCCAAAGTTGCACGCAATAAATTACTTAATTTTATTTAATCAAAATAAGCTGTAAGTACACTATGTTAACGGTGCTACAAAATCATTCAACTACATATGATGTGTAGTGCAGTGTAGGTGCAGGGTGTATAGGCATAAATCCACTAAACACCATTACTTTTTTACAATTCTACAAACAACAACACCACTTACATGAATGCTATAAAGAATACTTAGGTGTATGCAGCACCAAACCATGGTGCATACTCCATTTAAGTGCTTTTATTTTTTATTGTTATTGTTGGGTTGAATCACCTTTAAGTGAAAGTGAATTTTGCACAGAAATGTATAGCTATACCGAAAAAAAACGAAACGAAACATTGGTAACGTGGCTGTTTGGCCAATTGTTTGACGAAATACTTGTTTGGTTCAGTCACCGACTCAAAGAAGCCATGATTCGAACATAGCAGAGTACAATGCGACAAATGCCGTTTAAATGACATTGCTTTGTCTGTTGTTTAAACACACATTTATCTCTTTTTTCTTTTTTTACCTGTGAGCCGTGGACGCTAGAAAGACAAATCTAATAATAACTACTTACCCACGTACTGCTATGGATTATTTAATGACTTAGGGTTACGTGAGTTCTGATGAGATTTAAATGTTCTATAGAAATGTGTGTTGTGTGTAATGGCAGGAAGAATGATTGATTATTAATTTGCTCGGTATTAGGTTTTATGAGGAGTTTGAAAATTTTCTGTCCTCTTAGTTTTTTGTAACTCGGGTACAGTTTACTTTACTATAAAACCCGACAAGATTCTTTTTTGATCACACACAAGTCGACAAAAAAGTTTTTGTAATAAATATTTTTATGATAGCCAAAAAAATTGAAAGACATTCCCTTTTATCAACATAATGGGTTAGTAATCAAATTTTTGAACCATTTTTTTGCAGAAAATTTACTGAAAGTACCATAAAAAGGTTTTTCAGTGGAATTTGAAACAATAATATATTTGTAGGTCATAACTAGATTTTTTTTGGCTAAATAAATCTAGTTAATACAGGGTGAGATAAAATAAACTGCAACAAAGTCAAACGCCATAATTTTTACATTTTTTTAAATTTTATTGAATGAAAGCAAAAAATGTCGGAAATAGCATCAAATTTTAGAATAAGTTTATATTTGTTTGAATTGGTCACCTTTCGCACGAATTATGGCCTTCAAACTGCCAATAAAACCGCCACACGATGCCCGAATGTTGCTCTGCGGTATTTTGGCCCACTCCCAGCGAAGCGCTAGCTGAGGTGATCGACACTTTGGTATTTTTAGTGCCAACCTTGCTTTCCAAAATACTCCAGACACAATAGTGGTGGCCATTGTGCGCTGGAAATGAAGCGAGGAACCCCATTCTTGGGAGGCGCGTGCTGAGTGCGATGGTCCTGTTAGAATGTCCAAGGTCTGCGGCCAAAATGTTTGCGTGTTCAAGACTGTAATACACACTCCAGAATATTTTCGCGATGATATTCGGCTTTTACTCTCATGCCACGGTCGATTAATACGAGCGAAGAATGACCATCAGCTGTTATGGCGGCCCACACCATCACCATGGCCGACGTCTTGAGTCTATTTTTTTCTGTTGCGGTGTAAGTTCTTGCACTTTTTGGAAGTTCAATGGCTTTACCCCTGCTCATGACACGAGGAATGACAGCAGTCTGAAGTTGGTTGCAGTTTATTCATCTCACCTTGTATACATAGATTAATTTGCTATGGAAATTAAAAAATCATTTAACAAAATAAAACTGAAAGGTATACTATTAGTAAATTGTGTCTCAAATATTATTATAATTTACTCTTTTACCAGTATTCCTCAATAGCTACAATTCAAACAATAAAGGCAGTGCATTCCTACGATAGATAATCTGATTATTGACGTGTAACAAGCCGACACAACAGTAAGACGACAACAAACTCAAGTCAAATCGCCCTGGTTTGTTTCACCACATGTCTAATTCTTTGTTTATTAATTTATTTACTTTTTTTGTATAAAAATGAATTTTCTATAACTCCCCAAACAATAAACTCGAACATAGATAAACACATTCACTTTCAATTTCATTCACATATATTTTAGATCATTAACTTAAGAATTACACACATGGTAAAAAAGTTTTTATTAATACAATAAATTTGATTAATCAAATCAATAACATAAACCTTAACTAATCAACGATGGGGGTATGATTACATTAATTATTTGGAGGGAAGATATTTGATATAGAATCCCAGCTGATATTTAAATACAAATAAACATTTCAATATTATTTAAAAATATATCTTTTGATGATAACATATCACATATAGCAATATAAACCTATGTGTTATATACATATGTATATATTATAGGTATATTCAATTGAGTATACAATTTATATACGAAAAATGTATAAAAAATTGCAAAAGCAAAACAAAATAGTATGATAATCCTTAAATGCCAACACATTTTTGAGCAAAATTATGAGTATAAATTATCGTAGGATATGAGTGTGGAAAGGAATAACTAAATACAATTTAACAGCTGAGCCTAAACACAATAATAAAACCATATTAAAAGATCCTAGGAACTATGACGGAATGCTAATCGGTATCTTCATCAAATTTACTAAAGAGTTTCTTGCCTCTCACAGAAGACACATCTAATGGTTTACGCATGCTAGGTATTTCATCCGAATCACAATCGTCTAAATAGGAAAAGGTTGATTTATCCAATGATATAGCTTCGGAGTTATCACTGTAACAGAGAAAATATTAAATAATTTTTATTAAATATCACTAAAATAAAACTTACTTGAAGCATGTTTTTGTTAAATCTCTACGCGAACGAAAACCACTATGATTATGTATAACTGGAGTAGAGTTAACCATTTTATTGTCGGACAAATGATTGTTATAAGGTGTGGAATGTTGTTGTCCAAAATCAATATCTTCATCGAAGTGGAAATCTATTCTTGCCTTTGCTTTTGAGGAATTCATAGTAGGGGTAGACGTTGTTAGATGGGAACGTAGGTGTGGCGGTCTCTTCTTTTCCACCGTATTAGGTGCACTATATGCGTCGGAACATTGATCAGAAGGATATTCGTGAAATCGAAAAATAGTCAATATGCTGATAAAAATTTTAAAGACAGTGGTCTTCAGATTGCACAGTTTTGACCAGGCCAGACGGCGAGATTTTCGCAGAACTTGTTTCTGAAAAGATACAACAAATTATTTGCTTATGTGTATTACAACTAGCATACATTCCATTCTTTTTGATGCGGAATACAAACTTAATTTTTATAGTTTGCATTACAATTTATCTTCAGGTTTAATAACTAGAAATGTCGGCAATTGTAGTTTTAACAGACACCCACAATAGACCTCTTTTTAAATTGCTTTTGAAATCGCATTGTATAATTCCAAAGGAAACAACTAAAATAGGTAAAATATCATGCAAACTAATTAAACTTACTATGTTATTTACCAACTCCCAATGACGTCTTCGCTGCAACATTGTCACGAACCGTTTATTACTTAACAGCTCGTCCACCGTTGGCCTTTTATGGGGATCAGGCGTCATCATATCCTTAATTATATGTTGTAATTCTTCCGATATCTTTTGCAAAAAATCATCCGGATATACACCACTTCTTAGTTGTTGCCATAGAGGACCATTTGCCGGTAGTTCCAAATAGCATGACAGCTCCAACATTGCAATGCCCAAACTAAATATATCGGCAGCCTTTGAAAAATTGCCCTGCATTATTTCTGGCGCCACGTAACGAGAGTCCCCCTCTGTTGCCTGATTTTTGTTGGCACGGTCTACGTCAATAACCAATCCAAAATCTGCTAATTTACAGCTATCATCGTCGCCAATCAAAACATTATCAAGCTTTATGTCCAAATGTAATAAATTGCGGTCATGTAGACTTTTCAGGGCCAACAGCAGGTCCAACAGTATTGACCATATTTTCTCTTCGGGTATGTTGCGTTTGCGTTGCAAATAAGAGTCCAAACTCTCTCGACATAATTCCATTTGCATGAAAAGACGATCTTCCTGTTCCCAAGCACGATAGAACTTAAGGCAGTTTTTGTGCCCCGAAAATTGTTCGTATCTTCGTACTTCCTCCAAGCGTTCTTGTCTATATAAATCACTACGAAACAATTGCTTGGACATTTTAACAGCATACAGAAGTCCATCTTCCTTGGAACGAACTTTGAATACTTCTCCAAAAGATCCTTCGCCTATTTTCGCAACTCTTGTAAAACACTGCTCAAAATACGTCTCATTTAATGAACAATTATACGTAGAGCCTAACAGTGAAGAGTCTGCCACGCCTTCTGGGTCATCACCACGAAACGATATTGCATGAGCTGTGTGGTCACGATTAAAATTTGTATCGTATCGAGGCTTCAGTTTCGGTGGTTTAAGGCGTATATCTTCTCGTCTGTGTGCCTGAACAAAGATTTGAAAATAATATTAATAATATGATTGACATCATCAAACAATGTGTAACACACTACCTGTTTGTAGGAATGCTGAAATGTTTCCTCCCGTATCTCGGGCACCGGCAAACGGGATAAAATTTCATTATCCATTAAATGCATTGTCGAATCTTTCATATTTACTTTACAATTTCAACTTAATATACACTTTACTAATTCTAATTCTGTAGGAAAATGCACATCAGCCACTTAAGCCAGATAAACTTTAAATGAAAACAAAGAGAATGTCAACAAGGATCCAACAGGAAAAAAATGAGATTTTTTCAAACAGCGTTGTTTGTTTGACACAGTGTTGCATTTTTGTATTCTACCCATTTTAATAGATTGGCAACACTGCGACCGACGTCTACGCGCATTAGCGACGAAACACAACGCAGTCTGCAGACATCTGGCGTCAAAAAAACTTAAAAATTAACCACATTTAAGGCAATTGGGGTATATAATAAAATTAATTCAATAAAGAGTCTTAAGAGAGAGAAATGTGTACTGTTCTTTTAATTGGAGTTTACAAACGCTTACCGTACATATTTCTTCTTGCAATCACTGGCAACTCTTTTTTAGGGTATTCTAATGATAGAATTATTAGAAGGTATAGGCAAAACTGCAACAAATGCTGGGCAGTTACAGAACCTGCAAGAATCTACAACCACATAGAAAATTGTTATTGTAAGTAATGCCAGTGTCAGAGTTATGTATCTAAACATTTTAACATAACGAACACATTTCAATATATTTTATTTATTCATTTCAAAAATGTAAATTTTTGGAATTTGGTTAAAAAATTTTAATGCTCTTATATTTCCTTCCTCTAAAAGTATAGCTGTGATCTGCAGGTACGAATCTTGCAACACTTCAAGGAATCGCTAGGACCATGGCTCAATAAGAAAGGTTGCTCAACTTCAAAGGAACTAGAAAAATGCAACTCTGTACTAGAATCTTAATATGTCAAATATACTTTTTAAACATGCAACAACTGGTTCTGTTTATTTTACATTTTTCGTAAAATTATTATATTGGGGAAAACGCAAAAAACTTGAATGGAATATTGGGGTTTCTCCATGGTACAATCAAATGGTAAGGTTGAGCTACCAGCTGATTACAATATCTTTCTAAGTGTGCCCGACTTCTGCCAATTTGTGTGTGAATTTGTGAATTTATTGTTTTGAAAAATAAAAACAGAATATTTTCCAAATAAATGATTGGAAGACGCGTAAATTGCGAGACGCGCATTCAAGCTATTCGCCAGTTTTGCCATGGAATTGAGAGATAGAACTGTTTAGATCATATGTTTGATAGAAAATCCAGACATTGCATTCATTTTTCCGCTCTTTAACTGATTTTAAAAATGAGGAAAAATATTGAATAAATGGAAACAACTTGTTGCATGCAACTTTAACAGGAAGCGGTCAAAGCTTCCGTAACTGCAAATGCAGTGCTAGGACTATAAGGTATATTTCATTTTGCAATTTAATATAACTTTAAAAAAATTTATTACATTGTAAAAGATGTTATTTCTATAAACGATATTTTATGATATCGGAGAAATGACTAAATTAGTAGATATTTGCAGGTTCTGGAACAGATTATAAATTCCCAAATGCATTGTCGCTTTTTCTTTATCGTGAAAATGTTTTGTAAAATATAGCAACGTTGTTATCGTTGTTTATCATGACATTATCCATATAGCACTTACTTGAAATGTTATAATTATATCTTATGAATATCGAAATTGTAACAAAAAACGTCATATCGAATTTAACTAGTATTAAGGTTGTTATGTATCAGTTTGAGGCAGCTTGACAGGATTTGAGTGCGGCTCTGATATTCTTTTCTTTTGTATGACTTACCATGTCAAATTATTTTGTTCTTTTTAATTATATGAACTTGTTAACAAAATATTAAAATTCAGTTGTAACAAAAACGCTCATTACAACTTATTTATGGGCAAAACAACGTAACAAACATAAACATAAGTAATTCAACAGCAATGGTATACGATTTATTCATCTAGTCGTCAAATTTAACTTTTAAAATTTGTAATCATAGTAAAATAAGTAAGATAAAGTCATTTCAATTTTTTTTTCTTGTATGGCACGCACTAATTTAAGTAGCACTTTTAAAACGATTTGATTTCTTTTGATAAGTCGATTATTAAAATATCGATTTGTAGATCCCTACATAGAACAAAACAAATAAATAATGGAGACAGAATCATATTCTCATTTAAGTGAGAGCCGCTCGTCTGAAGTACACGTATATCAAGTAGAGTTAAAGTTCTTTAGTTTTCCCTCCTGCAATAACCAAAAGCGGAAGTTCGGTCCCGATTTTTTTTTTAAATTAGTCGAATATTAAAAAAAATGTTGAAATTAGCGGCTGTTTTGTTACTATTTACGGCACTTGTCTATGCCGTACCAAAACCAGATGAAGTACCTAAACACAATCCTCTTGAACATGACTCCAAACATATCGACCATTTCGCCAATGGTCATCACAATGCACAATATGACCATGAGCAGTTTCTAGGCGAAGATGAGGCAAAAACATTCGATCAATTGCCTCCCGAAGAAAGTAAGAGACGTTTGGGCCTTATTGTCGATAGGATAGATGAGGATAAAGATGGTTTTGTTACACTTTCGGAATTAAAAAGGTGGATTGAATATACTCAAAGACGGTATATCGATGAAGATGTGGACCGCCAGTGGCGTCAACATAACCCAGATGGCAACGACACAATAACATGGGAATCTTATCGCAAGGATGTTTATGGTTTTATGGACAGCCTCACTAAAGATGAACAAGAACACGAAGAAAACGGCATTTCATATAAAAGTATGTTGACTCGTGATCGTCGTCGCTGGAGTGTTGCTGATCAAAATCTGGATGATGCCCTCACGAAAGAAGAATTCACAAATTTCCTTCACCCTGTCGACAGTCCTGTAATGGGTGATGTTGTATTGACCGAAACCATCGAAGACATTGACAAAAACAAGGATGGTAAAATTTCCGTTGATGAGTACATAGGCGATATGTACACTCCTGTCGAAGAGGGGGAAGAAGAACCTGAGTGGATTATTAGCGAAAGAGAGACTTTTGCCAAATTCCGAGATACCGATGGTGATGGTTTTCTGGACCGTGAAGAAGTTAGGGCTTGGATCGTGCCTAAGGACTTTGATCATGCCGAAACCGAAGCTAGGCATTTAATTTATGAAGCCGACAATGACAGCGATGAAAAACTAACAAAGGATGAAATTCTAGACAAGTACGATGTTTTCATTGGATCTAAAGCCACTGACTTCGGAGAGGCTCTAGGACGTCACGATGAATTCTAATAAAATTCAACACTTGCGTGAAAAAAACACTTCTTAAATTCGAATACTCCGCTTTTTATGTGCTTTACTTAATTTAGTTATTTCAATTCCATTTTAATCAATCTAAATTGAAACACAAATTCTTCCACATAGCATGTATCATGTATTTTCAATGCGAATATTATTGCCTAGATGTACGTCATCGTCGCAAGTGACACGTATGTATAACACATATTGTTTTTGTTTGAATCTCTTAGTAAAATATGTACCAAATAACCAATGGAATCTATTAAAATAACGGACAATTTTTCTATTAAGTAATATTAGTTTAAGTCATTCTGTTTTTGTAATGTCTGAAGTATATGAATCTTTTTGGATGCATTTAACAATGAAATATATTCTATTTTTAGAATTAAAACTGATTTGCTCTGCATTTTCATTTGGTTTGTGTTTTTTGATTTGTTATGTTTACTGGAGAGCCATATGCCACAAGGCAAAACTATTAATTTTTATGTACACATATGTATGCCCACAGGCATACACAACTTATCGCATGAATATGTGTGCATTTGAACACATCATCTTTTGTTTTTCTTCTTCTGGATTATTCTGATAAGCCTTCAGAATGATTGGTTCACGAGAAGAAGATCCGGACAAGAAGGGTAAAGAATAAGGTCGAATTTTAGTTTTAATCTTATGCTGAGATAAGCGAAAATTTTGAACAAATATGGGAATGTGTATTTAGTATATGTACACAAACATATGTACTGTGTATATGTGTATGCAACTTGATACTCTTGCCGGCTATAATAGTTTTATGCATTTCCACTATGCAGTAGACAGTGAGCATATGGGTCATTTATGACGGAAGAATTAGTTGTCTTTATACCCTCCCCCAGCTAATATACCCTTAGCTTTGTCATTCCGTTTGTAACTCCTCGAAATATTCATAATAGACCCTACAAAGTATATATATTTTAGATCAGCGTAATATGAGATGATGATCTAGCGATGTCCTTCTGTCTGTCTGTTGTAATCACGCTATCTTTCCAGGTCCACGTCTTCCTATAGTCCCCATATAACGGTACCTCCCGATAGTCGGTATTTTGATGATTTCAGCAACATTATTAATCGTTTCAAATTTTGTATTGGAAGATCTTAATGAGTACTACAACCTATGAAAAAAATTTCGTATGCAGGTCCACGTCTTCGTATAGCTCCCATATGACGGTACCTCCCGATACTCGGAATTTTCATGATTTTTGCGACATTATTCACCGGAATTGTAACAAATTTCATATTTAAAGTTCGCAATGTGTACTACAGTCTATGAAAAAAATTTTCGTATGGAGGTTCACGTTTTCGTACATCCCTCCCGATATTCGATATTTCAATGATTTTAGCGACATTATTCACTAGAACTGTTCCAAATTTCGTACTTGAAGTTCGTAATGGGTACTACAGCATTTGACAAAAAGGTTGATGTCTTCGTATCGTCCCCAAATAAGGGTTTCCAATTAAGTGGTCGTTTTCAGATTTTCTTCAAGTTCCTTCCAAATGGTGGAGGGTATTAAAAGTTCGGCAAGACCGAAGTTAGCTGCTTTTTTTACTTGTTTAATTGTGAAATTGATGGTAACGTTTTTTTGCCATTTCAATTTTCTGTTCCGTTCAAAAATTCCGGCTGAGGTGAGCTTCTCGAGAAATCGAGTTTTGTATTGTAAGATTGGGCAATTTGGTTGATATTCTTCCGGAATCGTTGTTAGATATCGTATTAGTCGAAATATATGTAAAATGTACGAACAAAGCTGCACAGGCATTAAATGTGCTAAGTAATTTAAACACTTCAACAATAGCGTCGTTTAAAAATAGTTCTGAAATAGTTTTTAGAAATAACAATTTAAAAGGAGTTTCTAATGGAAATTACTTTTTCTGGGACGTTTGTTTGTATAAAAAAAACTACCTTCTAACTTAATACTAAATACCATCATCCAATAATTACAAAGTAGGACAGGTTAATAAAATATGAAAATTGCAACTCTGAAGCTAGAGTCTTGCAACTACAAACATATTAAGAAAAAAACAAATGCAACATGTTGCTTTGTTTGTATGACACTTTTATTCATAATATTTTTAATAACATCGAGTTTCTAATATTACACTTCATATTGATGAATTCCGATTAAATTCTAGGAACTTTTTTATGCATCCAGTCTGAAATTTGATAAAAATTAAAAACACATAACAAAGATTACCTAATAAATTAATTATTAGCTTAAACATTCGAACCAAAAAAATGTGTCTGGTGACTAATCATTTTTTCAAAAGAGAACAATTTCTACCTGAAAAAAATCAAAGCTAGTTTTTCCAACAAAGGTTAGATTTGGATTAACTGGATTAAAATTGTCATATCCATTACTTATACTTCAAATAAATCTTCAAAAAGCTTTAACACAAAAATGGCATAAGTTTAGCTATAAGGCAATAACAAACATTTTACAGCAAATCAATCGTCACCCTGCCAAATTCTTTTGTTATTTAAGACACATAAAATGTTAAATTTATGATAAGAAATAAATATAATGTTAATACTTTTTCAGAAGACAGAACAACACTCTAAATGAAACTAACTACATCAAACTATGTATCATATACTGATAAGGAGCCTCTAGTTTGTTCTATAAAATTTTTGTATCTCATTGAATTTATTAATGAATTTTCTAGAGAACATAGAACTTTTTCTAAATACCGTAGAATATGTTTACATACATACATGTGTATTCCCATTTCCCAAAAAGGGCTACAGCTCATTGAAACGATGATAAGAATGTCAGCACGTTTTCCAAGGCGATCTAACAAATTAATGTTATTTTGAATAAGTATAGTATGAATAGTGCCATAATTGATATGTTCCAGAACCTGCAAGAATTTACTAGCAATTTCGATATCATAAAGGAAAAACCGGTTATCGTAGTAAAAACTTGTACATCAAAATTTTAAATTTTAGGCATTACAATAGTAATAAAAAATAATATTTCTTAAAAAAACGAATTCGAGAGTGTTATACCGTAATATGGTGCAATCATGGTACAATGAATAGAAGGTAAGTCAACTTTGAAAAAATTGCAAGTATAGAGGTCTAACTGTTTGGCTTGTAATGTCAGAATTAGTATCAAAACAATAAAAAATCAAACAACTTGTTGTTGAAAGGCCAACATTTCTTTTCAAAATCATGTCCTATATATCTCTTATGGTTTATTTCGCGACAAAAACTGGAGATTTTGTCGATGCATACGTCGCAAAAAGCATTTTCAAAACACCCGAATTTGGATATTTTCTGAACAATTTCTTTATTATTGAAAAGAATACACACACATAAACAAATGAATTTGACATATTAAGCCAGAAAAATAAAAAAATTGAAATCATATGGTAGTTCTGCCCTACCTTGAATTCATTGTACCATGGGTGCAATAATGAAATTACAGTTTACTCTCTGTCTCAGAATCTATTTGTTTTGCAATTTTTTTTTTTCGACATCATAAAGGAAAATCGACTATCGTAGTAATTTCTTCAGCATTATTGAAGTTCTGGAACAGATCAATAATTTTTATAATTGTTGTTATTTTTTTAAAGGACACTTTTCTCCCAATAATTTTATATAAAAGAAAATTGAGAAAAACGAATCGACGCCGTGAATTTTTCACAACACCGAGTTCCTAACACAATTGCAATTCTTTTATTCCAAAACAGAAGCATTTGTTCTTCCCAAAAGAATTTGGGAAGACAAGACAATACAAAAACATAAAAACTGTGTACGTGCTATGACATTACAAGACTACTAACAAATTGTATTCAGGTGGTAGCAATCACCCTGTCTTCATTGCATCATGTACGTAGGGAAGTCCGAATTTATAATGGCAAGTTTACTTGCTCAATTTCAGGGAAACAAGGAAAGTGAAACTCTTTTTAAACGTGCAACAAGTGGTTTTGTTTATTTAACATTTTTCACAAAATTATTGCATTTGGGAAAACCCACAAAACATGAATGGAATATTTGGCTTTCTCCACAAAATTGAATAAAAGATATTAGGACAAGATTGTTTTATCCCAAAATTGTACATTTTGTAGCCCGTTAACGTAGAAAATGATCATTTCTTTTGTCTCTTAATTCGAAATAATTTCAATTTTTTCATTTTTAATTTGAAATAATTTCAATTTTTTCATTTTTATTCAAAATAATACACACATATACAAACTGATTGTACGTTTTGACAGAATAGGGACACCAACATACCAAAAATATAATACAGCTTGCGAATAATATTATAAAAATAGTTTAGAGAAACACTTATGTTGCACAAACTTTTCTCAAATTTGTCCATTGTTGACAAAATTTATTTTGATTTTTTGGAAATTGTCTGCTAAAAATTATTTTCTAATCACGCGAATTTCCGGACCGAATTCTTAAGGTAATGATGGGAATCTGTGGTATATACTATTTCAATCTCATTTCAAAGTGGAGTCATCAGAAAAGTTGCAGGAATTCAGTAATGTGAAGGAGATGAGAAGTTCAAATAAGGGAAAAGAAAGTGTCGGGGTATCAAGGCCATAGGATGGGAATGAAAATGGAAAAAGATTGCTCGTACTGGAAATTTTCTGGAAACTTTTTTGTTTTTTTTTTATTTGTATACAAACCAATTAATGATCACGAAATTGTTGAAAATAGTTGCCTTGTATAAATGCTAAAGGCAAGTTCAAAAGAGAATAAAATAAATTAATTAATAAAATATTGAATAATAAGAAAATTATTTTCAATATACCCAAACTATTATACTTATCTATTTTTTTGTAATTTGGGATGGAACAGCATTTGAGCGTATTAGTATATGGAGTATTTGAATAGTGTCGTAAAAAGGATAGTATCAGCGTGAAGATGTTCATTTTTGTTGTACGGTACGTCCAATTTTAGGTAGATATTCTATGATTAGGGGTCAAACAACAAAGAGATAACGAATCAAGTTATCTTGACAGTTTTGTGAAGAATTAGACTTTTAAAGATATACCCATAGACTATTTTCGAGTTTCTAGCTAATTTGCAGAATTTTTTCTATTTTTCAAATTTATAAATTAAACTATTAAATTAATAACGATATAATTTATTTAAAAATTGTAACGGACAAAATTTTTAGAAATATTGGACAGCATGAAACACCCTGTTATTTCTTATAAGATCAGGCAAAGTTACAACTAGTTCCGCGGCTCATTTAATGAATGATTGCGTTGTCGGTGTTATGCATTACACTCATTCGTAAACAACACAGGTATTCGGGTATTTTGCTTTTTGTTTTTAACGAGCATTCCCTTTAACTTTCTTATTTGTCTCGCTGGGACGTCTTTTATTTAGATGTCAAATTTAATTAGTAGCTACTTCTGTGGCTGTAATGCCTCCAGCTGATTGCCCAATGTCCCAATGTCTCATACGTGAACAGCACATGAATTCGGGTATTTTGTTTTCTGATTATTTTTTGCCGATCATTTCTTTTAACTCTCTTATTTGTCTCGTTGGGACGTCTTTTATAAAGATGTTAAATTTAATTAGTAGCTGGTTCCGTGGCTCATTTAATGAATGTTCAAGCTGATTGCGGTGTCCTCATATCTCATTCGTAAACAAGACGGGTACTCGGGTATTTTACTTTCTGTTTATTTTTTTATCGAACATTCCTTTTTACTTTTTTATTTGCCTCGTTGGGACGTATTTCATTTAGATGTCAAATTTAATTAGTTTAGCAAAAATAAATTTTCGCAAAATATTCAAAACATACCTTCATTTTGTATTTTGTGCAGACTTGTTTCGGGGATTGTCTATTCTATATTGAAAGAGAATGTGAAAAGTACTTTATGCGTCATAAACAGCCATTAAAGAAGGAAATAAAATAGAAAAATCATTGTTTGACTGAAATAGATATCAATTACATCTAGCCGTTCTAGAAACATACCAACGAATGCCCCGTGATACAAAAAACATAGAAAATTCTTTTAAAACCGCATTTACCATAAGAGTCATTAAAAACAACGTGAGCGATAACGTGAAATGGCTATTTATTGCTGGGGCAACACGGCACACGGGGAACTTGGCTTGGGGGGCATTGAAGATGAACAGGTGAGGATGCAAGCGCAGTGCAGTTTGATAAAATATAGCTACATATATTTTCCAAACAGATTTTAACACCGCGCAAAATGGTGTGGAGCCCACCGAACTCCTGTGTAAAACAAGTAAGCTGCGGTCGCTGGCATACATTATTTTTAACATCCACTGGCAAAGTGTATTCTTGTGGAAGCAACGATAACGGCCAGTTGGGACATGAACTGCCAACGAAAAGGCCACGTATGTCGCTATCTATATTTAGTATGTACTTAAAACTCATCTGCAATGTGCTTTAGATCATCAACATTACGGGAACACACAAATCAATAAAGAGACCTTCTGGCACTGACCTTCGGCCTAAAGTTTTACCACCTATACAAATTTGTAAACAACGGTCGTCGTGAATAAGTTGGTCAATTACAGGAGAAGAAATACTCACTGCATTGCATGATGTTCCATTGTAGTTAAACCTTTTACTACTGGAACATCTGCTTATGCTTATACATATTTAAAATAAAACTAAAATAAATTAGTTTTTTGTTGTGTGTTCCCATATTTTTCAAAAATCTATTTTAGTCTTTCTTCTTGATCTTATGCTCACATTTTATGCCTGATTCTGTATTAATATTAATTTTATCAATATTTTATTTATATAGCTCATGATGTTTTACTTTGATTTACAGTATTAGTATTTTGAAAATATGTTAAGGCTATGTAATTCTCTTTATTATTATTTTCCTACAAATAGAATTGATTGAAGAATTGGAAAACTATGTTATAACCCGTTTGAGCTGTGGTGCCCGCCATTCGTTGGCGTTAAGTGAGTGGGGTCAACTTTTTAGTTGGGGCCATAATGACTATGGTCAACTTGGTTTATCTAATGGTCAGGACGTGATAACGCAACCGAAAATCGTCCGTAACCTGGTTTCAAAAACAGTGGTACAAATAGCATGCGGAAATAATCACAGTTTGGCTTTGACAAGTTGTAAGAATGAACGACAAACTTAAATGTATTTTTTGTAACAATTTTTATTTTTTAGGCGGAGAGCTTTATTCATGGGGCTCAAATATCTATGGACAACTTGGAGTAGGTTCCCCCAGTGATGTCGTGCACTCGAATACACCACGCCTGGTATCGGCGCTTAATGGAATACCAATAGCTTTTATAGCGTGCGGGGGTAATCATGCATTTGTGATATCAAAATCTGGGGCTGTGTTCGGTTGGGGAAGAAATGATTGTGGCCAACTAGGTCTTAATGACTATGTCAACAGATGTTACCCCACTCAGCTGAAAACATTGCGTAGTTTGGGTGTACGTTATATCACGTGCGGTGATGAGTTTTCAGTTTTCTTAACCAATGATGGTGGCGTATTTACTTGTGGTTCCGGCAGATATGGTCAATTGGGGCATGGTGGAAATTCCAATGAAGTTCTGCCCCGTATGGTAGTGGAACTCATGGGTAGTACTGTAACACAAATAGCTTGTGGTACCAGACATACATTGGCATTGGTACCATCTCGCGGGCGAGTGTATGGCTTTGGTTTAGGATGTGCTGGTCAGTTGGGTATACGGGTAAACAATAGTTCCCCGACACCACAAGTGGTACTAGGACCATGGGTAAGTAACATATTTTTACAAGACGATATCAGATAGAGTATTAAGTTATACTAAAACATTACAAATATTGAGTGAAATAATAGATTATGTAATATATCTTTCATTCAGGTTTCCCCCAGTGGACAATCTCTTATACCTAATATAGAGGACAATAACGACAACAATTGCTATATAATAAAGCAGATATTTTGTGGAGGTGATCATTCACTAGTCACGTGTACTTTTTATGAAGATAAAATTCCGGCCGTAGACTGTCGATTATACGAGTAAGAAATCGTTTCATTGAAGTTCTAATTTATTATTTGAGTTTTGTTCATAAAATTATATTTCATTACATAGCGAAAATACCCAAGTCCTTACATTAACTGAAGAAACCGCTAAAAAATGTGCAAATATCGAACGGGATAGTATAATGGATATGGACTTGTTGACTTTAGTTGAACTTATATTTAAAAGCCAAGCTTGTTTGAACGGTTCGTTTTTATTAGAAGACGATCAGCATTTTTGTTGCACCTCTAAACACCATGGTGTAAACTTAACAACGGCCGTTAATGCATTTAATTACTTACGTAAAGTTGAACATGAAACCCTGAAGACATTGGTAATGGCTACAATCAAATTTAATTAGTTTGCGGTACACGTCGCAGTTAATTATTTGTATTTCAGATTTGGGAAAAGATAACAAACGATTTATTAAGTTCTCTGGTATCATCACCTGCCGATGTTGAAACATTGCGTATATTCCTCATACTACCACTCTACCATGAGTTCGTTAACGCTAAAAATTATGAAAAACTACATACTCTCTTCAGCAATGCGGTGATTAAATTAAATGAAATTCCACGAAAAATTGTGGCAAAATGGTGGTCACAAACGCCGATTGACTGGTTTGAGCATTTGGTTTCAAGCTACAAAAATGTCATAGCATACATTATTAGTTTCAAAATGCCGCCAAATATGGGTAGTGGATCAGAGAAACGGGTACTTTGTTCATATATTATAAATATACCAATCTTATAAAACTACTGATATTCTAACAGCTTGTAACATATAACAGTAATTTGATAGCTGCCTTAAACATTATTGTTTTTCTCCATGGAATAAACAACAAAGAACGCAAGAACAAATTAAACTACGAAGCTTTCCATTGGCCTGAACTATCTGATTTTGTTGATGTCCAACAAAACTATATTCATTGGTTGTTTGATAAAACGGTAAGATCAAGATTATATATAATTTTTATCATTGTTGACTAAAAGATGAATGTTTTTCCTATAAAGCCGGATGCATTTAACATTTGTAATTATCCAATGCTTTTTAACGCTGCAGCAAAGACAACACTGCTTCAAACGGATCAAGCCATTCAAATGCATCACGCAATGAATGCGGCAACTTCTAATGTAAGTTTATAGAAATTTGGTTATTTCGTATGAGCATATTAATTATAATTTTTTATAGAGTATATTAAGTTTACTAACAGGTCAACCCATTCAACAATTCATTGTTTTAAACGTATCAAGGGAAAATTTAGTGCAAGACACATTGCGAGAAATAATGCAGTACAATGAAAGTGATCTTAAAAAGCCACTTAAGGTATGTAAATTCGATGTGCTCATTTAATATTGTTATGCAAATCTCTGCGTTTTTTTGTTGCTAATTTGATTAGATTGTTAATATTATATATCTTTTTATTTTTTTTAATTACTAGTGTATATATATTATATAGGTTTTTTGAAAATCGAGTGCCTCTTCGGCTAAGTGGCATGTAGCGCCGTCATGTTCAAAACAAACGTTGTAAATAACTCACTTTTAAATTCTTGTGAATCAAAAAATTGTTCAACATGGCCCGATAGCCTGACGGTCAGGTTATGCATCTATAACAAAATCTGCTTCGAACAGTGACTCGTTTTGAGTGATTCGGCTTTTGAATGTAAGCTTGCGGGTTTTCGCGCACATTCCGCAGCATCACCATAATTTTTACATTGAAAATATTACTTTATTATTATGTATAATATAATTTTGGTAATTACCAAAGTCGCTGAGACCTACAGATAGAAACAATGGAACCGATTTTGTTAATAATTGTAAAAAAAAATAAGAAAAGTTATGTAGATTTTGGAAAGTAGATGAAAAATTGATATGACAAATAATTTCGTGGGTGGAATCTATGACAACTTTTAAATACCAAACTTTAGACAAAACCGTTAAAATGTTGGAAGATATGTTATATTGTGACCTAGACCTTAGGTTAGGTTAAAGGATGCGCGGTTGTGTAAACAACCACTCCACCCGGAGCGGAGAAGTTAGTAGGCTTGCATCCACGGTGTATCAGCGTGTTGTCCTTATCCATTTTAGTCTTCTGGCTAACTGAAGAATGACTGCTGGCTCGATGACGGAGAGGGAGGACAAGTCTGGCAGAAATTGCTTACCCAGTAGTCACTGTCTCACTCCTATAAGAGTTGGGCAGTGGCAGAGTAAGTGCTCCACCGTCTCTGTTTCTTCCTCGTCCTGACAAAGCCTGCAGTATTCAGTGTCGTCACCACCACATTTGGATGTCATGACCTTTATGATGCAGTGTCCTGTAATTAGGCCCACCACAAGCTTCAAGCCCAGCTTCATCATGGATATGAGTGACCTTGATCTTCTTTCGGAGTCCATCGGCCAAATCTTTTTGGAGACATTACATCCCCTTCCAGTTTGCCAGTTCTGTTGAAATTTCTCAAGATAATAGTTTTATGTACTTAGGAGAAGTGACATAAGGGTGATTTCACTGAGCTCTCAATCTCTAGATCTACTGACTCAGATCCGAGTCTGGCCAATTCATTGCCAGATATGTTGCAGTGCCCAGGGACCCAACAGAGTTTTACAAACGATTTAACCTTTTCCAGAGCATTCCTGCATTACAGAACTGCCATAGATTTGATTGTAAATGAATTAAGAGCTCTATGGCCTTCCCTAAAACCTAACGGCTTTAATTGAGTAGGGTCTCTTGTGCGGATTGGGGTGTGCTCCTAAACACACCTTTAATTAGTAGCGATGCATCTCTTTGGATTTTATCACTTAAAACTTCAAATAGTTTCTTTACTAATTGTGCCTACAATCATCAAAGTACCGAATGTGGTAAGGTTAGATTTTCAACAGGCAAAAAACTCTGTAGCCATATTTAATTCTGCAAGGGAAGCACAAAAGAATGAGTCTGTAATATAACTTACACCACTCTGGATAAATATAACAGGTCTTTTCCGCAATAAAGTTATGTTTCTTATGTTTTGTGTGAAATATCTGAAGTATCATATACACAACCCTGTCCTGTCCGACTCCCATGCTTCTCCTTATACTGGTGTCCATAAATGTCCAGCTTTTTTTCTATAAGGGAACAACAACAAATTTCAAATTCGTTTGGGAGGAATTATAAGTCCCCATAATTTAGGATTAACGTCGATACCTTGCCTCATTATGCTATTGTACGTCCCCATTTTCACTTTCGATTCAAAATTCTTTTTCAACAGACCGACTAAAAAACGTTACCAATTTATAAAGAACAATGGACAATTAAGAGTGTATCAATTTTTGTAAAGGCTATTCAGCTATTTTAAATTACCGTACTTTGACATTTCTAATTCTTAAAGGATGGACGGTCTCCTAGCAAAAAAAAAAAATAATAATAATAATAAGTATGGGTGGTGAGTGAGTGATTCATTTCAAAAGATTCTGTGCATATGCACATTTAATGTGGATTGAATCGGATTTCGGATTTAAAATTTTTGCTGCGTATAAGAATATTGTATATCTGCAATATAGTTGAATTGTAGAATAAATTATATTTGTATACATTACAATAAAGTTTAAATAGTTTACGAAGTTTAAATAGTTGAGGATGCTATTAAATCGTGAAAACATTTCGTTTTAAATGATAACGATATAATTTTTTTAAGTACTTTACAAACTGGCTGGTAAAAAAGATTCTGTCGATGTTTTTTTACATTTTCTGCTTAAATCCAAAAAATGATGCAGGCTATGGTGGATCATAATAATTTAAATTGATATTAAATATTGAAATTTCCTTTTTTCAAGGTTAAATTTTGTGGCGAAGAAGCAGAGGATGCTGGTGGTGTGCGAAAGGAATTTTTCATGTTACTTTTAAAGGATCTCATTGACCCGAAATATGGAATGTTTAAGGAATATGAAGATTCAAGAGCAGTATGGTTTGCTGATGTCACATTCGAAACGGATAATATGTACTTTTTAATTGGTATAATTTGTGGCTTAGCTATTTACAATTTTACCATAATCAATTTGCCGTTTCCATTGGCTCTATACAAAAAGCTTTTGGATGAAAAAGTTGATTTGAGTGATCTGCGTGAGTTGTCGCCGACCTTGGCTAACTCTATGCAACAAATACTCGATTATGATGGCGATGATTTTGAGGAAACATTTGATTTGCATTTTGAAATATCAAGAGATATTTTCGGGGAAAGCACTAGCGAGCCGTTAAAACCGAATGGATCAGAAATAAGTGTAACAAAGGAGAACAGGTAAAAAATAAAAAAAATTGAAGACTATTAAATATAACCATACTAATGATTTAATATTGTAGGCAAGAATTTGTTGATTTATATGTAGATTTCATATTCAATAAAGCTGTGTGTGACAAATTTAAGGCGTTCCAGAAAGGTTTTATGAAGGTATAATTAAATTTTGGTATTTGTTTAATGAAGCTATTATAAACGCTTATATTGTTAAGGTATGTTGGGGTCGGGTCTTAAAGATTTTCCGACCCGAAGAACTAATGGCCATGGTTGTGGGCAATGAGGAATACGATTGGAAGGCTTTGGAACTAAATTGTGAATACAAAAATGGTTACTCAGTTAGCGACGATACGGTATGTTATGCGTCTCTTATTGTTCGAAAAAGTTTAAATTATCCAATTATTCACAGATTAAATGGTTTTGGGAAACTTTTCATGAAATGACTCTTGCTGACAAAAAGAAATTCTTGTTATATCTAACAGGGAGCGATCGCATTCCAATACAAGGAATGAAAGCCATAAAAGTAAGTGAAATGAAGTTGTTAAAGTTTAATATAACACTTATTTAAATGTTCCTCCTATTAGATCATAATACAACCAACCAATGATGACAAGTTTTTACCGGTAGCTCATACCTGTTTCAATCTTCTTGACCTGCCCAGATATAAAACAAAGGAACGCTTAAAATACAAGTTAATGCAAGCCATACAACAAACTCAGGGTTTCAGTCTTGTATAATCAGTCCAGGATTATACGGAATTTGTTGTGGTCAAAAACTATGTTATCTCATTAAAGGTTTTTTTTCACTCAACGCTGATTTTATTTAGTTTCATAAGAATAGCATGTTAAATCATTATTAGTTAATTTTGGCGATTCGTTTTGCTGTATAATCAATTGTTAAAATATGTGAGTTCAATCATATTACACTAACACATTCATTCATATTTATAAAGACAACTCACATTGAAATGCCTTGTACACAGATTAAATGGAAACATGACTGATACTAAAAATTATAATGGAAATAAATTTAATTGGATTTAAGTGGTTGTTTTATTCAAAATACGTATCCAAAGTGTGTGCACATATACAAATGTTAACTGCAGTTTAGCGAATATTAAACAACTTAAAATTTCAATAATTCAAGTTGTATTGAATGGCGATAAGTCTGTTGGACAGCATAGAAGATTGAAAAAACTAATTCCATTTCTCGGCGTCGATACAAGTCGGTGTTATAAATGCAATATTACCAATATACAGAGTGAGATGAAAAAAACAAGAGCTTGGCCGGGAATGGGCCATAATACCGCAGAGCAACATTCGGTCAGAGTGTGCCGGTTTCATTGGCCGTTTGAAGGTCATAATTCGTACCAAAGGAGACCAAATAGAACAAATCTTAACTTGTTCTAAAATTTGATGCTATTTCCGACATTTTATGATTTCATTCAATAACATTTAAAAAAATGTAAAAATTATGGGGTTGGATTGGATTTTGTTGCAGTTTTTTATCTCACCCTGTATTTTTTGGTATTCTGTAAGAAAATGTGACGATGGAGTAGACTTGTATTGGCTCTGATTTTGTCGTTAGTGGTTTTGATGTCAACTTGTATTTGTTTATTGATTTTTACAGAGTAAAATAACAATGGAAAATTACAAAAAAATATCATTGAAATAAATTTAATAAATTATTAGAAGATTTCGAAAAAATTAATAAACAGTCGACGCCGTTACGGAATACCAAATTAGAGTCGACGTCGACAACAAGCGGTGTTGTCAAGTAGAATAAAGTTGTGAGTACATAAACAGCTTAAAGTCTTCGCTTGGCAAATTTTGTGACATATCATAAAGGGATGCCCGAGCCGCACTCAAATCCTACCGTCGTTTCCTATTAGAATTTGACATTAATATGCCTAGCCATGTTGCCAAGCTGCTTATGTACTCTCACCTTAAGTGTGAACAAAATTGCTGATTTCATATACTGTGGAAGCTTTTTGTAAGAAATATTTTAATTTAATTGCAAACTACTTTTGGTTTTGCGAGATATAATTTTCTGGAAACTTACAAATTGGAAAGAATTCATGAATTTTATTTTCAAAATTTATAATGTCGGCATGATAAAGATTGGTACATTGTACAATGAAGACAAGGAAAAAGTTGAAAGTAACGAGGTCTACCTGTAAGGATTGTAATGTCAGAATTACTATCCAAGCAAAAGCAACTTGTTGCATTGATTTAGAATAAAAAAATCGCGAAAACTGAATGAAAGGTCATACTGTATTCTTTAAAATCATGTTCTACAAAGCTACATCCTATATACAATTGTTTCTTTTGGTGTCCCTATTCTGTCAAAACTTATACACAGTTTTTATATATGTGTGTATTGTTTGAATAAAAAAAACAATATAATTTGAAATTATTTCAAATTTAGAGACAACAGAAATGCCTATTTTTCTCGATGACAAGCGACAAAATTTATAGTTTTGCGATAAAACAATATTTTCCCTCTATCTTTGATTTAATATTCCATTCAGTTTTGTGGGTTTTCCCCAATAAAGTAATTTTGTAAAAAAATAATCTAAATAAAGAAAACCAATTGTAGCATGTTAAAAAGTCTATTTGACTCTATAATGCCATGTTTACGTTAGAACTTTTTGTAGGGTTAACCTACTACAAAAGGATTTATTTGAAGTATAAGTAATGGATATGACAATTTTAATCCAAATCCAGTGGGTTAACCCATTTATATGTAAACGTACTGTAAGACTCCGGTACAGAGTTGCATTTTCCTAGTTTCTTTGAAGTTAAGCAACATTTCTTATTGAGCCATGGTACCATGGGTTTGTGCGGCAAATTTCAAAGCTCTATGCAAAATAATATAAATGTAAAAAATAAATGTTCAAACATTACTTCCCTGTTCCAGAACTGCAAGAATGTAAAAGTTTTTTCTACAAATACATCTTTTCTTTACGACATGTAAAACCAGTAGATTCTTGCAGGTTCTGGAACAGAGCATTAATCAATCAATTGACCCATGACACTGCCAACATAACAATCGCCAACCGTCACTGCACTATGTAATGCAACTTTTTGACTCCCATTGTGTATAATTCTCCATAGTAAAAGCAATAAAAACATTGTCGTTTTTGACATTAAGTGTCACACAAAAATTTATTTTTATTTTTTTTTTTTTTTTCATTTGTATGTATTACAATTTTTATTTAAATTATGGCTGTTTTAATACATATATAATTATTAAATAGGAGTAGTAAGTTTTTCAATTTTCCAAAAATTTTATTAGCACAAATATACTAAATTTTACAGGCTCATCACGTAAATGCCTTGTTTTCAATAATGTAATTGATTTTAATGGTTAGTCTGTCCATTTGTCGATTTTATAGTATGACAATCTGACACATTTATTTTGGGGGAAAATAATGTTCAGGTTTAGATTTTTTTTGTGTTTTAAGATTGATATTTCGAATGTATGTGTGTGATACTTATGTTTCCAGTTTAGCAAATAGGAGGATGCAAATATTGTACCAATGTACAAATAACAGCAAAAACACATAGAATATCAACATATTTATGCATTATGTTTAATTAGTTTATATGTGTTGTTATCAACTGTTTTATTTGCAACGTCATTTAAACATCCATATTTTTCCAACATAAACTTCTAGTAAGACTTATTTCATTGAACCTTGTTTGACATAGAAACAAATTTAATCAAATGAATTTTGAAAATATTTGGATTTACATTAGACAATTAAAATACCGCTTGCAGAGGAATATAGAACGCAAAATTCCAGAACCGTGTTAGCTTATATAAAAGTTAAAGGTAAAGGGAATCATCATTAAAGTTCTTAATTTGAATCGGAACAAAGTATCCATACCTTCAACAATTAGAATACAACATCGTACGTTGAAAAAGAAATGAATAACATAAACGTTAAAAGCAAATTGTTACTGGGATTAGTAAAAACATTTGCGACATTAAAACAAGATAAATCTATGACAATTCTAAGAGGACAATTAAAGAAATGAGTTCTTGGTAGACTTTCTGATTTGCACAGATGAACAAAGATTCTACATGTATTTCAATTTGATTATTCTTTATACATATAATGAATACTTTCGCTTGTTCCCGGAAACTAAAAAAAATTGCCACGTTTAAAATGCTATTTTATCTAAATATTACTTTCTCAATAAATATCATTTCACTTTCAATATTTTACGAAAATCATTTTAATGTTTGAGTTTTATTTTTTAATATCGTTTTGAATATGGTGTAGTATTGTAGTAAAGCCAAAGTTTAAATAAAATGGTTTAAAACAAATTAGGAAAGGAAACTTTTAGTTTTACTAATGCACATATATATGTTATGTAAAAAAGGAATTTGTTAATACATTGTTTATAAAATTGTTGCAATAAATTTATTGCAAATAAATAAAAATTTAAGCGACGAAAGCGGTGACGTAAAATTATTCAGACCAAAGAGAAATAATGAATACTGAGTGACTTAAAGGAAATGATCTATTGCGACTTGTATTGTCTATTGACTAGTTCTGCAATATGATATCTTTCTGGTGGTGCTTTTAAAAATGTCGTTAGTGATGGAATTAAACGTTAAAACACGTTGACCTGGTGACAATAACACATTATTAATCTCAAGGCCTGGAATACCACTCTGTATCATTTTACATATGTGTATATTTTTACTATTGCTACAGTATACAAAAATTTATAGAATTGGCTGTTTTGTGTGTTAGAACGCTTCAATTTGGTATTTTGCTGGTTTCTTCCCTCCGTGTGCTTAAGATTTTCCAGACTTTCCGGGTTTATGGTGAAATTATAGCAACGTACATTTACGTTTCGACTTGGGCTGCAAAACAGGACACAACACTGAACGTATAGCTTCATCAAAGACAGTCTTTAAGCCCTTCTGTGTCAAAGCTGAACACTCCAAATACTTGACTGCGCCAATTTCCTTAGCCATAGCCAAACCCTGTGGGTAGGTAATGGGCGTAAGCTTTTTGTCACGTAGTTTTTCAATGGTGATTTTATCATCCCGCAAGTCCAATTTTGTGCCCACCAATATTATTGGCGTATTTGGGCAGTGATGGCGTACCTCTGGATACCACTTAGCACGAACATTCTCAAATGAAGCTGGATTTACAAGCGAAAAGCAAATTAAAAATACATCTGTTTGTGGATACGACAATGGACGCAAACGATCATAATCCTCTTGACCGGCCGTATCCCAAAGGCCCAAATTAATAGGCTTGGCATCGACCATAACATTAGCCGAGTAATTGTCGAATACAGTTGGTATGTATTCTCCTGGAAATGCATTCGTTGTATAGCTGATGAGTAGACATGTCTTACCAACCGCACCGTCCCCTACGACAACACACTTGATTGCCTGCATTTTCTTTTTCTGCTTCTTTTTGCTGCTGTCCTCGCGGTTACTGAAAAATATGTGCGTTCCCTGGATATGCTATTATTAATAAATAATTTTTACAAAATCAGTCAAATATTCTGGTATACCTAATAGAATAATTGAAAAAACTAATTCTTTTTTGCACAATAGAAATTTTTCACTTCTCTTTCTAGTAATGTGGAATACGGAGTCCGCCTAAGTTTGACGGCGTTAAACAACAGGCGATGGTCTATTGTTGGTATAAATGTGGACAGTGTTACCGCTAACACTTTCATAAAATCTCTGTTTTATTTCAGCCATATTTTTAACCGACGATAACTACTACTTCTGTACTATAACTTGTCTGTCTCCACCATGAGATTTTTTAAATATGACAAAAGACATGAAGCTATGCGTCTATAGGCAAAACAGTTGAGCGGACGAAATTGTTATGCCAATTTCATGTTATCGTCATATTATTATTTCGCAATATCCCTTTGGAACAATCGGACATTTTTGTTTTCAATTCCCTTTTACTTTTTTTCTCTTGCCAAGTCAGTATTAAATAAAAATAGTTCAAAGCTTAAATCGTGGCATCGGCTTGAGATTACAACACTGTTGTCACTTGATGCTGATAAAAGTGTTGCCTATTCACGTTTCGTGCATCCAAAAATGGCAACATTGTCCAAAATCACGGTTTAAGTTTTGTTCTGTTTTAGCCTTAAGAACTACAAAATAAACGGTCGCTATAGAGTAAAATCAAATGCATTCGCAACATTGAAATGGAAGAATGGTAGAATTTTGGCACAACCAGAAAGGTACGAAACTCTTTACCAGAGTCCTATCATGGTAGAGGAATACAAGTAGTCGCATCGACTATGATTGCATGACTTTAATTGTACCATGCAACTTGTCATGAGAATGTAGAACATATGAAACCTATTGTTGCATGTATTAAAGCTCTATTTGACATCACAGGGCTCATGGTAGGAGAATTCAGGTAGATGCATCAAGGCTTGGAAACCTTGATATGTCAAAAAATTAAATTGTTTCAAAAAATTTTTGGATTTTTATATGTTTTGTTGTTACGATATGCATTCTTCGCCAATTTTTACAAATTTTAATAATTTTTCATTCGAAAAGTTCAATACCAAAATTGGTTTGACACCTGTATTCGTCTACTATGATTCCTGCTTCTCGTGGATTGAAACAACTACAAACCACACTTAATTTATGTCATTACACCTCACAGCCAAAAAAGTTTTAACAATAATTTCAAACCGCCGTACGCACGTAGTATTAAAAGAGCAAAGTTTCAAAACATTTTGTTAAATGCTCTCACGGAAAAAAATGAAAAAGGATGGGGACAAAAAAGCATTATATGAAGCTACTAAACGGCTGAAGAAAATAAAAAATCATACTTGAAAGAATGACACCAGAAGGTAGAACAAACCTACCCCCTAAATACAATTCTTTTCTTTTGGTGCCCTTATTCTGGCAAAACATATACACATTTTGTGTATGAAGTCTATTTGACATTATAAGACTCCATCACAGAGTTGCATTTTTCTAGATTCTTAGGAGTTGAGCAACCTCTCTTATTGATATATATGTGCGTTTGTAGATTTGTGATGAATTTCAACAAAAAAATTGCAGAGGAATTTTCGTATAAAAAAATTGTGCAAATGGTTTCATTAGAAACGTCAGATACTAGCTAGGATTGAAATATACAACTGTACAACTTTTTACGACGATAAACGATTTTCCCTTTATGATATCGAAAAAAATTGCAAAACTTGTAGATCCTTGCAGGTTCAGGAACAGAGCAATAATTGCATGACTTTACCTTCTTAATTCTACCATGGTATGAACTAGTGTTAGGTGGGAAAACTACAGTTACAAACTTGGCAACATTGCTATTCAAACACACACACCCATGCATATATACTTACAACTTATGATAAATAAAGATGTTTGTTTATATTGGCTGTTCTTCGAGTTTCGATCACCAAGTCGAACGTACCGGGGCGCGAGTTAGGTTAATTTTGTAGATTTTTTAAATTTTCTAACTAGAATTGCTATCATGAGTGAAAATGTGTACATAGTGGCTGCAGCCAGAACACCTATTGGTATGTTATCCGAAACTATATGTATTAAAATAATATCAATGAGATAGCAAATTGACGTTATGCGATATCAAACGTGTCCACTTAGTTGGTCAAAGTGCTTTAAGTTAGATAACTTTCTCTTTTCATGTGTACTTATTAACTTTCTTCCATATGTTTACTTTTGAATGTAGGAAACTTCAATGGCACGTTATCGAAATTAAAAGCATCTGATTTGGGAGGCATTGTCATCAAAGATTTACTTAACCGTGCCAATGTCGCGCCTAATGACGTAAACGAGGTTATAATGGGCCAAGTAAGTACTTGTAATAAATTTGAACAGCTTGAAACCTTACTTATATATATATGAATTTATTGAAAGGCTCTGACTGCCGGCCAAGGACAAAATCCTGCAAGGCAAGCATCTCTATGTGCTGGTCTGCCTATAGAAGTCCCCGCATACAATATTAATATGTTATGTGGTTCAGGTTTGAAGTACGAGAATTAATATCCGATTAAGATACAGAATTCAAGGTAGTAATTGATTTTATTCCCATAGAACAATTGCATTAGGCTACCAATCTATTCGCTGCGGTGACTCTTCGATTGTTATTTGCGGTGGTCAGGAAAATATGAGTTTGGCACCACATGTAATGCATCTACGCCAAGGTGTGAAAATGGGCCCTGCCACTATGTTGGATTCCATGACACACGATGGTCTTACCGATGCTATGGAAAATATACATATGGGTATTACCGCAGAAAATTTGGCTAAACAATACAATATCAGCCGAGAGGAGCAAGACAAATACGCAGTTCGATCGCAGAATTTAGCTGAAAATGCTCAAAAGAGTGGCTTCTTTGACAAGGAAATCACCCCCGTTGAAATTACTGAACGCAAGGGCACAATCACATTTGACAAGGATGAATATATCAAGTGTGGTGCAAACATAGAAGGGTTGCAAAAGTTAAAGCCTTGTTTCCTAAAGGTATTTTATTTGTTATAATATTTAAAGCAACTTCGACTGTCTACGTTATGTTTAAACTTAACTAATATGTTGTTATTTCTGTAGGATGGTACAGTGACTCCTGGTAATGCATCGGGAATCAATGATTCAGCTGCTGCGGTATTACTGATGTCGGAGCAAGAAATTAAAAAACGTAATGTAGTTCCTATGGCAAAAATCGTAGCATGGGCTCAAACAGGTATCGAACCAAATGTAATGGGTATTGGACCTGTTACTGCTGTTAATGCTGTGGTATGTACATAAAATATATATATATATATATATATCTAAGAATTAATGTTTATTGGATTTTTTCTAGCTTGCAAAGGCCAACTGGTCTAAGGATGACGTTGACTTGTATGAACTCAATGAAGCTTTTGCTGCTCAATCGTTGGCGGTTCTAAAGGGATTAGATTTAAAGGAAGATAAAGTGAATATAAATGGTGGAGCAATAGCTTTGGGTCACCCCATTGGAGCATCTGGGGCTCGTGTCTTAGTCACATTGTTGTATGCTTTAGAGCGTACTGGAGGTCGTAAGGGTGTCGCTAGTCTTTGCATTGGAGGAGGCATGGGAATTGCAATGGCTGTGGAAAGGCTTTGAGATCAATTAAAATCATTGGTTATCAATAATAGCTCAATACATTACAATTATTTTATAAATATCTTATGTTAATAGTTTTTCTGTAATTGCCCAATGATCAAAGTCTTATTTCTAATTGTTGTGAATGGCAAAATAATACTTTGTACATTTCTACTGCGTTTCAATATTTGTACTTTGCTTATATGTTTTGAAAAAATATTATGCATACATTTTTGTTGTCAATCTATTATATTACTGCTCGTCTACACGTCAAGATATTGTTTATTTTTTTTTTTTATTTCCGGATACATACATTTAGCATACTTATCATGACGCAGTCATTAAAAGGTAGGGCAGGTTGATTACATTTGAAAATCATATCTCTGATGCCAGGGTCTTTTCACTTCATGTTTACTTTTAACACATGCAGCAAGTACTAGAAAATATGAATTTAAATTTCAACAGAATTTGGAAATGTTCAGAATTATTATGTGTATAATTATTTTTTAAACAATACATGCAATACAAAAATGTTGTATGTGTTTTGGCATTGCATAGCTAAAGGTGTGCATACATAAGCAGCTTGAGGTCTTCGCATGGCATATTTCGTGCTGTCGTTTTTACTTATAATTTGACAGTAATACGTCCAGCATGTCCCACATCTTGAAAAAATTGAATATTTTCGCGATAATATTCGGCATTTTTTCTGATGCCACGGTCGATTAATACAAGCGGAGAGCGACCATAGGCTGTTATGGCGGCCCACACCATCACCATGGCCGGCGCTTGAGTTCTGGTGGCCAAACGAAGGTGCACATTTTCAGCTGACCTCTTAGGCAAGTAAACACGATCATTTTGTTTATTTACAAACTTCTGGACAACGAATTTTTTCTCATCGGAGAAAACCAAATTGGGCAGTTCACCACTTTCGGCCAAGCGAAGCAACTCTTTAGCTCTTTTGAGACTATTTTCCTTCTTTAGCGCTGTAAGTTCTTGCACTTTTTGGACTTTCAATGGCTTTACCCCGAAATCATTTTCAATATTTGGCGATATGTTCAGCTCACGAGCCATTTTTCGGCCACTGCGACGAGGGTTTCGATCAAGTCGCTTCTTTACTTTTCGAACCATTTCTGCTGATGTTGCTGTTTTCTTCCGTCCACTTCCTTCACGTCGGGCTACGCTACCAGTATCATGGTAACGAGTGATGGTACGAGACAAAAAGATTTATTCACATTTAAATGCTGGAGTGCTCTAACGATAGCCACTTATGGTTTTCCAGCCAAATAAAAATAAATCACACTATCACGCTTGAATTCCATCACGAATAACTTTTTTCTGGAGTTCAGTGTTGCTTATAACAATTTCACATCGTATGAATTACGACAAAAAAGCGATTTGATATTTTCATACATAGACAATGCGCAAATATTGTTGAAGCCATTCAATTAATGTCTATTTTCGATCTATATGATATTATTCAACAATTTCAGATGAAAATATTGACAAGTTAAAATTCGAAAATAAACTTTGATTAGCTGTCGAATTCAAATAAATATGTATGTGTTCTATTAATATGAACGTTAATAATACACAACCATAGAAACATATTTTCGGCTACTCATTCAGCTAAACTTAAAATAGCAGCAGCCGAAATCGGAGCTATTGCTAATTTTGTGTGCTTTTTTGTTGGTTAGGGCTAAATAAAAATAGCTGTCATGTCAGAAACGAGCTAAATAGTATTCGTCTGAGCTAAATAGCTGATCATGTGCAGCTTTAGCCTTGGCTACAAATCACTGAAAGGCTAGGCCTGATTTCATTAGGTGCTGGCTTTTAAACCCTGATTAAATCCCATCTTCAAACTCAAACTGCCTACATATTAAAGTTAGTTAGTTAAAAAAGACTGGAAAAAATCGGAAAACACCAGACGTAAAATTGCAAAATTTATAAATATGCAAAGCATTTATTTGTGCTTAGTCATTGAAATTCCATGAGGAAAAATGTTTTCTGTGTGGGTGAACCATTAAGATATTCTAACAGAAAATGCAATATATGTACTATATTTGTATATTCTTGATACACAATCTCTCTCAAATATACGCTCTTTAACAAACAATAGAGAATAAACAATGTGTAGAGGTTGTGTAGTCGTCTATAACAAGTTCAAAGTTCGTTCTAATAAATATTTCTAAAAACATATTTGGAAAAAACTCATCCCAAATGCAATAGATTTTAATCAAGGCATTCCTTTCATTTGTTATTTTCCCATTGAAAAACGAATGACAATTTTTGAATTGAAAAAGCAGTTTATTGTTTATTATGTTTATTCTGTTTGGACAAATGTTTTTAAATATTCTATTAAAAACACTTGCCGTGTTATCTGATACAAAACAAATATTTCACTCAAGTGTGACGATGAACTATTCCATAATAATATTTACAAAGAAATGCATTTAAGATTGTTTATTACAATTTTATTTACTGATATTTTACGTAACTATTACATTCCGTGAATGAAGTGCGATTGAGACTATTTGAAAAGTATTATATTTTAACAAGATTGTTCTATATTGATTTGTAATTGGAATCTAAAATAAAAAAATTATTGACATAATTTTTGGTAACACAATTATCTATTAGTAAACATTATTTTACATATTATCTTAAATTATAATTTAATTAAATATTAGAAAAACCGTTAAAACTGGGACAATTGAAAGTACTTTTTAATACACGTTTACAAAAAATCCCAGAGGAGTATGAGGAATATTCTGAATCAAATTCTTTTACATTTAATAGCAACTAGTAAATTAATTGTTAATTAATTAGTTAATTGTACTCATTTAAGTGAAAATATTTGACAATAAATTGGCTAATAAATTACATCAAGCTAATTTATATTTAGTAAAATCTTTATAGCATTTATTTAAAGGTACATCAATGACACATTTACTACTACTATTTTTGCTAAATGTACGAATTTGCAACAACAAATAGTGTTAACGTACAGAATCATTTTTTATTAGTTTTAATGAAAATTGTTATTTATCTAAACAAAATAGCTTACAAATATTTTTTGTATGTATTATATTATATACAAACATATTATTTGTTGTACGAAAACAACTTTGACTAATTGTGTGTTAATAATTCTAACATAGTCATCTTATTTGCAGTCAATTTTATCGTTTTTATAGATCATTGCAAACTGTTGTATAGAAACCTTGAGAATTTGCGCATAGTATCTTATCTGTAACAGGTACGGCAGCTATAACATCCATGCTAGAAACACACAATCGAGAATATTTTTCCATATTTTTTGACCACAAAGTCGGTGCTCCATTTATGCTAAAATATGAATCCCATTTTGTGGAATGTACAATATTTTTATATTCATAGTTATTGTCATTTTCTAACAGTTCTTCACTCAAGGCTATTGTATCCATAGATGCTTTGGTAAATGGTGTATATACGTCTTGTATTAAATTATCACCGACGTACAGGCAGCGAGTTTCGTTATCTTCTTTTCCAACAACATTTTTACTTAGACTTGTTTTTAATTGCTGCCAATTTCCCTGACTATAACAAGATCCATTTGTGGCAAGCGCATCTTCCAGCGACAACTCGCTGCCCTCTACTTCTGTTAAATTCTTTACTTGTAAAAATTGACGTTGCATATAAAAGAATCCTGGTTTCTTGCCAAAAGAAACGACTACATTAAACAGTTTTTTCCAATCAGCACCCAAGGCATAGGAAGCCGTTAAATTGGCAAAATCAATATTTGAGCCAGTTAGTAAATACAAAGCCTTTCCTGAAGATTTTAGTTCACGCAACAAATCAAGCACTTTATTATCTGTTTTCACGAGGTATTTTTCTGGTTCATTTTTTAAAGCTTCAAAATAAGGACTTTCTCTGTTTGCAAAATTTTCCCTCGTATAGATTTTTATTAGCCCTGATAATAAATCAGGCCATATTTCATAGTTATTCTTTTCTAGAGGGTTCTCATTTTTTTCTGATAGTTCGTCAATAGTGTCAACAGCATGACCAAACACCAAAGACGCTGCAATATCAAAATAATCCAATAAACTTCTGAGTTTTTCCGAAACAGGACCATTCCACGCCGATAACGGATCGTCAATGTACTCTTTGGCTATACTCCAAATTCTTGCCTTTCCATATACCGCTTCTATTTCCGACTCTTGGAGAGATCGTGTACCATGTGCAGCTTTCAATATCTTTCCGTCCTCACTTAATTTTAATAAATTACCCCGTTCAGTGTCAACTATTAAGCCTTTTTGTATAAAATCTCTGTTAAATTGTTTTTGCAATAATTCACGTGGGTAGCTTCGTTCCTCCACTAAATATTTCACCAACAACTCGTATACAAGGGGCACCATATTACTGAGATTATATCTAAGCAAGGTACCGTCCAAATCGAAGCCTATGATGTCATAGTCAGCCATACGGAACTCTTGCAAACTTGACATTGTATGATTGAAGCGCAGGGATAAATGCTGGTGATGTCTTCGTCGGAGGTCACATACACTACTTAATCTACCCGCAGCTGTAGTCAATCTAATATTACGTAATTTCACAAATGTAAACAAACACGAATCTACTTTGGTACTAAATTGTACAAACCGAAGGCTTGAGCTAAACATTTTTTTTAATAAACTTAACTATTCTATTATTTTTCTATTCTAAAACTTCCAATTCGCGATTAGAGTATTTTTAATCACTCTCTTAATTTAACAAACAAAAATTCAACATTGATTGTAAACAAATCTATGACGTCGTATTAAAATAATCGGATATTATTTGCATGTCACTAAACAACAAAATTGGCAGCACTACATTCTAATCAGAATGACAGACAGTGGCAACCTTATTTAAACGTCAATACATTAACCATAGATGTGTATCTTATTTTCTGTCATGATTGAAAAATCAATAAACTCACATATAGGAGTAAAAAAATAGTTTTTGTGTTAATTTTGATCGTATTTTTGTATATAGGAGGAAATTCGATTCAGGAAATTTATTTTAAAATTCTTGTTCATTATTTTGCCAATCTATGCATTAAGCAACGTTTACAACAGCCTTTTTATACCCTCCATCCTGGAAAGGAGATTTTGTAACACCTCCTGATATTTGTTGCTTGATAATTTTTACCAGCTTATGTACGTAGACCTACGCTTTACTATAGCTCCTACATAACGGTAGCTTCGTATATTCTAACGAATTTGTCTGAAATTTGATATTCGTTGTTCGTAATGTGTTCCTGCTCGGGGCAGAACATAAACACAAGCATCTGATTAAAAAACAGTTGATAGACACAGCAAAAAATTAAACAATTTTTTACTAATTTAAACGTCAATATATTATGCAGTGTTCAAATAATAAAAATGTATTTTTATACCCTCCACATATGTTAGATATTTTTGAATGTAGAAGCAAAACTAAAAAATAGTGTCACCTTAATGTTAAAAGGCCCAAAAATGTAAACAAACCATTAATTTTCAATAAATTATTTAAATGTAAAAGATGGACATTTTTGGAATTTCATCTATTAATTTCAAAATACAGAACAGGTAATTTTAATTCAATGTTTACTTTTCAACTACAGATTTTTGCAACACTTCAAGGAATTCCTGGCAAATAGTGGTAAAAGCAACATCCATTATCAATATATACATATTATACTACTAAATACTAAATTTTGAAAAGTTGGAAATTTGAAAAACACAAAAAAGTTTCCGCACAATCGGCGTTTTTAAGTGCATACAATTTTCTTATTCCATATCAAGAAAATTTTACACATTGCCCGGATGTGATATTTTCTATAAAAAGTAATATACATGGCAATACAATAAAGGTTATCTGATTTGCGAAATCGAATACGGCAACCCATTTCTGAAGCACTCGACCTTCTCATTAAAAAAAAAATATTTTCCTATCTAAAATATTTAAGTAAGTCGAGTGAAGTATTTTTCAAAAATAATAAAGAATCTCTTTGGGAGGAAATACATAAAGCGCATATTTGGCTTGCTTAAGGTGGGAATACATAAAGCGCTTATGTCGCTGGCTTCTTCGGAAAAGAAGCCAAAATCGAACTAAGTCAAGTCTTTGTAGTTGAACAAAGGAGTTTTATGTTGACATAGTTCGTTTTGCCCCTAGGCTCCTTTGTTAATTTCTGAAGAAGCCATCTGATGACTTAAGTGCTTTATGTATTCCTACTTTTATTTTCGGGTTCCTAGGCAAGTAAAAGCATATAATGTTCCACATCTTGGAAAGACGAACTTTATTTGCCTTGTATTTTAAATATATAAGATGATCGAAACCCGCGTCGCAGTGGCCGAAAATTGGCTCGTGACCTGAACTTATCGCAATATTCCATTCGGCAAATATTGAAAAATGATCTCGGGTCAAAGCAATTGAAATTCCAAAAAGTGCAAGAACTTACACCGCAACAGAAAGAAAATGGACTCAAAAGAGCTAAAGAGTTCCTTCGCTTGGCCGAAAGTGGTGAACTGCCGAATTTGGTTTTCTCCGATGAGAAAACATTTGTTGTCCAGCAGTTTGTAAACAAACAAAATGATCGTGTTTACTTGCCAAAGAGGTGAACTGAAAATGTGCACCTTCGGTTGGCCACCAGAACTCAAGCGCCGTCCATTGTTATGATGTGGGACGCCATAACAGCCGATGGTCGCTCGTATTAATCGACGGTGGCATCAGAATAAATGCCGAATATTATCGAGAAAATAATCTGGAGGGTGTATTTAAGCCTCGGGCAAGCAAATATTTTGGCCGCAGACCTTGGACATTCCAAAAGGACTCAGCACGCGCCTTCAAAGAATGGTTACAAAATGAGGTTCCTCGCTTCATTTCCAGCGCACAATGGCCACCAAAATGAGTGTTATGGCTAAGTAGAAAGATAAGTAATGTCACTGCCTAAAAATTACTTTTCTTTCCGACAAACTTTACACGTGTGACCTGGGCCTAGCGAATCTGACCACATCGTGTAAAATAAATGAACATATGATTATGATAGGAAAGGTCACTACTCGAAGTCTGGCAACAATAAAAAAATATGAAATACTGGTAACATTTATGAAAAGAACTTCCCATTGTTTTTGACATTTCAGTTGCGGAGGCACAAGTTTTGCAGAAGTTTTTACATAATATTCTTCTTGTAAATTTCGGGTAAAATTAATTCTTAATTTTACGGATTGTGTTTGAAAACGTTCGAAACTGCCTACTTATTATCGGTTCTGTATTATAGGTCTACAAAAATGTCGCTGACTCAAATTGCCCGTAACTGTGCCCGTATGGCTGTCAGAGCCAATGGAATACGTGCTATCACTGCCCAACCACAGATGCGTTTATTGCACAGATTGGTCGCACCTGCCATGTGCAATGGTGTAACACAAGTAAGTATTGATGCGGGAAGAATCATTCTAAAGGTCCAAACCCAAGAATATTCTCCAAAAGATTTCATAACCTCACTTTCGGCAAGAAAATCGGATGAGAATGCCTTGTTATTGAAAGTTAATGTTGGGAAAATTGCGTTATCAGATTAAATGAAAAAGTTCAATAACGACAACATCTCATATTGGCAAATATTTTATAGATATACTATTGTATTTTAATAAATGAATCATCTATATGTATTATAGATTGTATTAATATATAACCGCTTATTGTGTTTAGAGCATTTTAAAGCCCAAATCAGTAGCCGCACAAGTGCGTTGTTATTCCTCTAAGCTGACAATGGAGGATATCAAAGATCGTGTATTGAAAGTTGTCGGCTCTTATGATAAAGTTACAAGCGAACAGGTAATTAATTGTGTTGAGTTTTACTAATAAATTGTTTTCTTCTTTTTGTTAATAGGGTAGCAAAAGCTGGCAATGGCAAACGGTACGCAATTATTCTGCAAAACCACCACTAACCCTGCAATTAATTAATGAACGAGTTTTGCTCGTCTTGAAACTGTACGATAAAATTGATCCTAGCAAGGTAAATTTCAATTCCATCAAGCCTTTGCCAGGCCAACATTTTGCTTCCTTCTGCAATATTTTATTAATATAGAATATTGTAATTTTTAATTTTAATCATTTGTTTTTTCTTCCTTAAAGCTTCGTGTTGAGTCTCATTTCATCAATGATTTGGGTTTGGACTCATTGGATCATGTGGAGGTTATAATGGCCATGGAAGACGAATTCGGCTTTGAAATTCCAGATTCGGATGCTGAGAAACTCTTGAGGCCAGCCGATATTATTAAGTATGTCGCCGATAAGGAAGACGTATATGAATAAATGTGTTTACTGTCAAACATAACTTTAACATCAATAAGAATATAAATAATTTAAACTAGAAAGCAAATGTAATTTGAACTTTTCTGGCAAAAGAAAGCTTATCTGAAAAATACAGCGTGTAAAAATTACTTCTAAATGTTAAAACATAAATATAACAAAATAGTTTTAATTTAATATAAATACATGATTTATGGGAAAATCTTTTAATATATAATAGTTATTTTATGTTTGAAAAAAGTAATTTATACAGCTAACACAATGGAGAAAAGTGGACTCAAGTTCAGTTTAAGTATTTAGAGCTTTTGGGAGCCCTGAAACGAATTATATTGGGAAAGTCAATACATCCATTGGAATTTACATAGTTTTAATTGTTTTGGAACTTAACTACGAATATTAATGCAAAGGTCTTGAGGTCAAGATTACAACGAAATATATAAAGCTAAAGAAGTTTAAACTTTTCAAAATATGAGCCTCAAAATTCCACAAATACAATTAATGCAAACGAAGCGCATCCCATACTTTGGGAAATATGCCTTATGGAAGATAAAAACACTTATAGTTATTCTGCGGCAGTGTTGTCAGAAACAACCAGAACAATTACAAAACAGAAGTTCCGTCAGAAAAATATTCAGCGACTGGAATATAAAATGATGCATTTTCACAAAATTAAATCCATCTCTATTTCCGACAAACAATAAGGACATACTCATATCGTCCGTTGTTTGGTTTTAAGAAAAGTATTAAAAAAATCTCGCTCATTTTAATTGACTTAGACCATAATTATTCCCTATTATGTATTTGTGTGTTACATGCATTTTGATATTTTTTTTCCTTTGTACACATCTTATTTGGCTTTTATGCTCCACAAAGCCGTAATATGCACTCTTTGAAAATATTAATTCATAGATGTAGCTATCATATATATTTCACTCTGAATCAAGGAAGTCTAGAAACGCATTTGCAGATAAATTATGTTAGTAGCACCATTAGAATTACACTCAAAAATTTAGGTTAGTTACAAGTAAAGGACTTTATTCTATAACAGTAGTCAAAATGTTATGTTCCATTATATAACTAATTCAAAGTAATACGATGGCAAATTACGCATTTGGGAATTTAATCCATATTTACAGATGAAAACGACATTTTGCTTAGAATGTAAAAGCTTTTACTATGATAACGGAACAATTATTGCAAATTTTAGGTTAACCAGACACACCTAATTGCTCAGATCCAGGACTGGATTCAGAATCTATGATTAAATCTACTATAAATTGGATGTTTTCTTAATCGGCTGATGATGCTAACTAAGTAAATTTTTCCTGTAAGATTTTCTAAAATCTGAGTAACTCAACTCTCAAAATTGGGTTATCTGACATTTTTTAATATTTTGTTAAAAATATTGGGATCTCCTATACATACGATAGTTCGAATTACTGAATAATTTTTACTGGAAAGATGTGTACGAAAAGGAGAAGAAACTTCGTAATCTAGTTCCGATAGTTCCTTTCACGGAATATTATGTTTGAACTGTTTGATTTAATTCTACGCAATACCCGCCCAGTTGATTTGTAATATAATTATAAAGCAGAATAGAATGCCTATACAAAGTTGTTTAATTGATAAAATGTTGCAAGAGCTAAGTATGTGATACACTTTAACAAGAATATACGTCCCCACTATAAAAAATATATATTTTATAGAAAGAAGCCGCACATCCATGGAAATTCAGTCGCAAAATATGACCGACGTCCTGGATAAGTCCAATAGTGCATTACTACAAATAGAAGCATCGCGCACAATTAAACATGTTCAAAATTGTAAGGAGACCCAGCCGTTCACCTACAACAAGGAAACTATTAATGATTTAACGAAAGTAGTTGATAAATTCTCGCAATTGCTTAATATATCAGCAGAAAGTGGTAATTCTGCTGACGCCGGCACAAACTTTGAAGATTATTTGGAAACAGCCTGTCAACGGGCAGAATATCTGGGCAGTAATGTTCGAAGATTATTGGCCATTTGGGACACTGTGCAACAGATGAGAACATTGTTGTTACAACAGGATATGGAGTTGGACAACGATAATGAGGACGAAGAAAAAGAAAATAATTACGGTTGAAGCGCATAATTTATTTTTTACACATTTAAGTTAAATGAGTTAACAGAAATTAAACAATGAGAAAGTATGTCAATAACATTATCTAATCTTTGTGAATTATTAAATATTGGGTTATTTTGTTGGCAAAATAATCCATGATTTGTTCGTATAAAATTTAAATCATCCATTTTTTCCACCAACTCACTAAGAATTTTTTCCTCCTCAGGAGTTAGTGCTGGCTGACCCACCTTGTCGGAAGGCAAGAGTTTTTCCAGCTGCTGTGAAAAGTGACCCAACTGTTTTAGTTTTACCTCATAACCTTTTTCAACTGATTGTTGCTCCAATTCTTGCTGAACTTGTTTTAGTTGTTTTTGAAACATAATAAAATTTTTATAAGTATCAGAAGGTTTGACAGTTGGTTCCTCATACTTTGTTGCCAAATTTAATGAACTGGTCGAGGAATCCTTTTGGCTTAAACTTGAAGACAAATCGTTGATAGATGATGTAGAAGAACGGGATATAGTAGAGTTAGCCCTCTCGCGCATTGGCGGAACCTTTGGCTTAGTCTTTTGCAAATTTGGAGGATGTACATCCAAAAGTTTAAAAACTTCAGCAAAATTTTCTAGCTTCGGAGTTTTTTTCGTAGGGGTCACACACTCCTCATCAATTGCCTTTTTCTCGTCGTAGTAAACTTTATAGAAGTCTTTGAGGTCCGTAATATTTGATTGTTCCAAAGCAGTCTTAACCACAGACTCATATTTTTCATTTAAAGCTGATTCAATTTTATCGAAATCACTTGCAGACATTTTGCGGCAAACACCAAAAAAAACAGGAGTACAAAGTTGAGCAAATTAATTTTTGACGTCGATGTTTAGGATAGTTAATTTAAACTCAACTCTGTGTGCAGTGTTGTAGTTAATAATCATTACTACTGTGAATGTGTACTAATTATAAGCCAATTTTGGTGTTACCACTTTTTGCCCAGTTTTATATATTTCAAGTGCACCATTAAGTTATACGTAGCATTGAGCGATGTGCAAAGTATGGTATTATAGCGCGTTAACAAAGTAATTGTCTAAAATATGTGTAATACCGGAATGAGTGTGCCTATTGAAGACATATTCTGAGAACCGTTTTACAAGTGTTAAGATTGCCGGAAAAATTTAAGTTATTACTTGTTTCCGCAAACCTTACGAGTTGAAGTGAAAGAAAAAGTGACATTTACTTCATTTAAAAGATGATCAAATCTTATCTACTTCCATAGCAAAAGGTTATTTTGTTTCAAGGGAGCTCCGTATCTAAAGTTTCTGTATATCATTTATTTTGAAAAAAAAATGGTCACATTGAAAATACATTAAAACAAATATAATAAATAAATTTAAACAACACAAATTTAATATTGTATTGCCTTTGTCGATAAGCTGATTAATATATTAGTTTTATAACGATATTCACATGGTTTTTCTAGGTGTGCCCGACAATTTAGCGTATGGATTTATTGTTTTGAAAAATAAAACCAAAATATTTTCAAAAACAATGATTGGAAGACACGTACATTGCGGCTCGCGCATTGAAGCTATTAACCAGCTTATCCATGAAATTGAAACATTGAACATTTTGGATCATATTTTTGAGAGATAATCCAGGCATTCCATTAATTTTTGGTGCTATTTAACTAATTTTAAAAATGAGGAAAAATATGAAAAAAGTTAAAAAACTTGTTGTATATAATTTTGAATGAGTCTGACAGGAAGCGGGCATAGCCTCAGGGCTATATTTCTGTAGTTTTACGAAGCTGTTCTACCTCCTTATTGCACCATGGATATTCATAATAAAATTTCTTGAGAACTGTAATAGAAACATAAATTCCTTATAATCGATATTATGATTGTATAAAATTTGTTAGTAGATCGACCCAACAAGTTTAAAATACAAAAGAGGGTATTTATTTCAAATACTGCAATGAATCACGAATTTTGGGTAATTTACAATTTTCAACCCAAAGCAACTAAATGACATATCTAATCGTAATTTCTATACTCTTTGACATTTTGTTTCTAAGGCATAGTTTTAAGAATTTTTAATTTTTATAGATGATTTTATTATATTTTGTTTAATATTTATAAAAAGACAAATACTGCAATGAATCTCAGTTTTCGGGTCCGCTTCCTGTCAGACCCATTTAAAATTATATGAAACAAGTTGTTTTCATTTTTTTTCATATTGTTCCTCATTTTTAAAATGAGTCAAACAGCGTGAGAAATGAATGAAATGCCCGGATATTCTCTCAAAAACATGATCCGAACTGTTCAATCTTTCAATTTCATGCCTAAACTTGTTAATAGCTTTAATGCCCGAGCCGCAATTTACGTGTTTTCCAATCATTGATTTTGAAAATACCATACTAAATACCAATACCAAAAATACCATACTAAATACCATGGTAAAATTAAGAAGGTAAAAATCATTTCAAATAAGCATACACATATCTGCATTTACTGTAATTTACCTTGTCACATTTCACTACATAAAACCAGGTTCCCATCTCTGATTTGTATATGTACAATGGATTTATAAACACAATTTTGATGTTTTGATGTTGCACAAATGAGATGTTGTCAAGTGAAAAATTTTTAAAAAATTTGTAATTATATGACTGCTTGACTTTATCTTCTTGATTCTACCATTATTAATACATATATTCGACGTTAATGTGCAACAAATTGTACAAATTTGGGATAAAACTGTTTGGTTTACAATCTTAGATTCAATTTTGTGGAATAACTCCAAGATTCCATTCATGTTTTGTGGGTTTTCCCCATTATAAGAATTTTGTTAAAAAAATGAAAAATAAACAGAGACAATTGTAGCATATTTAAAAGTCTATTTGATACTATAAGACTACAGTGCTACAGTTGTTGCATTTTTCCTAGTGTCTTGAAGTTGAACAACCTTTGAGTTTGAGCCATGTTAGCACCTATGGGCAGCTTTATATGAAAACAAACATCAGCTGTTGCTACTTCTATTAAATTCGATGTAGAGTCTGGATTTCGTAATTCGAAATGATATACAATTTTTGGCGTAAATACACTGTAATAGTCAATGCCTCACTTTCTTATAAAAAGTTGCTAATGATACCCTAAAAATTCCCTCTATTGATTATCTAACATTTCTTCTATCAATCTGGCCAAATAGGCAAATGTCAAGCCATTGTGAATTGGCAGCCATTTTTAGAACAAGAAAAACGGTACCCGTAACGAAGGTTTTACATTCGGCAACACTGCCCTGTTGAAAACGAAGACGGCCACATTGCCTGCAAAAATTTGCTGTTTCGTAATCGGTGAGTGCATAAGTTGAGAGCTAGTTGGTGTGTGAAAAAATTCTTTTCATTTTTTAAGTAATTATTGCAAACTTTAATAAAATATTTTTATTAAAATTATCTGTTTCAGGAGCGCGTTCACCTCAATTACTTTCTTTTACGGGCATATTATAAAAAATCGAGAAAATGTTCTCTGCCGCACGTACGGCCTTAAGCAGGTCAGATAAGAAAGTTATATCACTACTTGCCCAAAGCCAACGCGAGTACGCCAAGGCTGCCGCTAAGGCTGCTGTTGGTAATGGCAAAATTGTGGCTGTTATTGGTGCCGTCGTCGATGTCCAATTCGAGGATCAATTGCCCCCAATTTTGAATGCCTTGGAAGTTGAAAACCGCTCTCCCCGTTTGGTGTTGGAAGTAGCCCAGCACTTGGGTGAGAACACTGTCCGTACTATTGCTATGGACGGTACTGAAGGTTTGGTACGTGGACAAAAGGTCAACGATACTGGCTACCCAATCCGTATTCCCGTCGGTGCTGAGACTTTGGGCCGTATCATCAACGTCATCGGTGAACCCATCGATGAACGTGGTCCCATTCCCACCGACAAGACCGCTCCCATCCACGCTGAAGCCCCCGAATTCGTGGACATGAGCGTCGAACAAGAAATCTTGGTTACCGGTATCAAGGTCGTCGATTTGCTTGCTCCCTACGCCAAGGGTGGTAAGATTGGTTTGTTCGGTGGTGCTGGTGTCGGCAAGACCGTATTGATTATGGAACTTATCAACAATGTCGCCAAGGCCCATGGTGGTTACTCCGTATTCGCTGGTGTCGGTGAACGTACCCGTGAAGGTAACGATTTGTACAATGAAATGATTGAATCCGGTGTCATTTCCCTTAAGGACAAGACCTCCAAGGTAGCTCTTGTCTACGGTCAAATGAACGAACCCCCAGGCGCCCGTGCTCGTGTCGCTTTGACTGGTTTGACTGTTGCTGAATACTTCCGTGATCAAGAAGGCCAAGATGTATTGCTTTTCATTGACAACATTTTCCGTTTCACCCAGGCTGGTTCTGAGGTATCTGCCTTGTTGGGTCGTATTCCATCTGCTGTCGGTTACCAACCAACCTTGGCCACTGATATGGGTTCTATGCAGGAACGTATTACCACCACCAAGAAGGGTTCCATCACTTCTGTGCAGGCCATTTATGTACCTGCTGACGATTTGACTGATCCTGCCCCAGCCACAACATTCGCTCACTTGGACGCCACCACTGTATTGTCCCGTGCTATTGCCGAATTGGGTATCTACCCAGCTGTGGATCCTCTCGATTCCACCTCTCGTATCATGGACCCCAACATCATTGGCCACACTCACTACAACGTTGCTCGTGGTGTGCAAAAGATCTTGCAAGATTACAAGTCCCTTCAAGATATCATTGCTATCTTGGGTATGGATGAATTGTCTGAAGAAGATAAATTGACCGTAGCCCGTGCCCGTAAGATCCAACGTTTCTTGTCTCAACCTTTCCAAGTCGCTGAAGTTTTCACCGGTCATGCCGGTAAATTGGTGCCCCTCGAAGAAACCATCAAGGGCTTCAGCCAAATCTTGGCTGGTGAATACGATCACCTTCCCGAAGTCGCTTTCTACATGGTTGGTCCCATTGAAGAAGTCGTCGAAAAGGCCGAGCGTCTCGCCAAGGAAGCCGCTTAAGCGTCGTCATCATTACCATCTTCAACATAACCTATAAAACCAACATTAGTTCTAGAACAAAACAACCAACAGCAGTTACAAAAAACATTAAAGAAATTCAATAATTGAATTGCTCTATAGCCTAAACCGAAGGATTGCTGCCATCTAAAACGGAAACCTTCTTCAATCTTAAAATGTTCGTTTTAAACGATTTCGTAAGAGAAAAATGAAATGTTATTTAACTTAAAGTGATGATTAATATCTTCGGAAACAAAAAATGTATGCTAAAACAAAACGAAAATCATAATAAAAACTAAAAAAAACAAAATTTCCAGCTGGACTTTTGATTTTTTCCAAAATTTTCATTGTGGATTACATATTCAATGTGGTGTTGCATAACCAACTGCTTTGAACTTTTCTTTCTCGGCATTTGTGTGTATAAGAGATGCGTGTGTGTGTTGGTGCGCGGGGGAAAAATGAGCGTATGTGTGTGCGCCGAAATTAGTAGCTAAAGAACATCGTGAAAAAGGGACTTGGTTAAAGAAATCATATGACATATGAATTTATTTTTTGGAATATGTAGGAAATGTTTTTTTTTTTCTGACTACAGTTATTTTATAAAAAGAAAGATCGACATGTTATTTCGAATCTTTAATAAAATAGTTCTCTTCAGCTGATAGGATAGATATTGCACAGGTCTCTGTTGTGTAATAAAGGCGTATTCGACGGCAATGTGGGATTCTGTAAAGCCGGTGTAGAAATATTTTTGGTACATTTCCAAATGTTGCAACGAGAATGTTTATCTTTAATTATGATGGGTAGCAAACAAAGCAAATGCCTATTACGTGAATGATAGAACTTACT